AAGCTCTGGCGTTCTTCTCCGTCAACACCAGGCCTTCCAGGCCGTATCCAAGGCTCTTAGGCCTTAGGCCCGTGGTGAACCTAGGCCCTTTTTGAGCCATTATAGAACTCGGGCTTCAAACCCGTTCGGTCCATATCCCATATTTTATTTTCTGTTATTAATTTATTTTGTTATTAATTGTTTTAAGACCCAGAAGGCCTTCGGGCTGTTTTGTTTAGGGCCTTTAGCCCATTAGACCAACCCAAAACCTTTTTAGGTTTTATTTATTTATAGTTTTAATAATTTAGGCTCTTGGGCTGTTTTAGTTAGGGCTTTAGGCCCGTGTGTTTAAGACCCTTATATTTAAGGCCTTTGGGCCAATTAAAGCTTGGGCTTTCAGCCTTTTTTCCCCAAACCCTTGAACTTCCAATCTAAACCCAAAACCCTTAGGATCCAATCGGCCCAACCCAATCCAAGCCCAGTATGACCTTTGACCGCTTGACCCAGTTGACAGTTGACTCGGTCAACGGCCAGCGTTGACTTTGACTTTGACCAGTCAACTGTCAACATTGACTTTTTGAGTTGACTTTTTGGGGTTTCGTCCGAGACCTCTTTTAGGCTAATTTCGATGTCCTGGACCCGTTTTTGAAGTCCTTTTTCCCAAATTCAATCGTTTGAATAGAGTTTGACTAAAGGTACTCCTTTATGTGAATAGGTGCAATTATTAACGGTGACTCCGTTATTCCTTTTTGGTACAGCTTTGCACCATTGGTGTACGGTGAATGGACCCCTTCAAAAGCATGTTTTAATAGTAGAAATGCATACATGAAAATCATGATTTAATAATTATGTTTTATGAAATGTTTTGTGAGATAACATGCTTACTGATGCTAGACTGAATTATTACTATTTTTCCTATAACCCATGTTCTTATAGAATATCTGATGGATGACGATACGATATTTAGAACATGTTTAGAACACCTCTTTATAGTACAGATGATGGATGACTTTAAACTATGAAGTTGTTTTTCAAAATAGATACATTCAATGGTTTTGTACTTACCTAGTGGTCATTTCCGCTACGGGACGTAGGGATAGATTCTGGTCGGTCCCGGGCGACGGTTTGGTGTTGGCATAGGGCCTGGAGTGTGTTTCCTCTGGCTATTTAGCATAGAGACAGAAAGCCAGCATGGGGCCTGAAGTGTATTTTCCTCTGATTGTCTGCTCAGAGACGGGGAGCCGGCATGGGGCCTAGGGATTATCGGACAAATCACTAGTGTTTATTATATATAAAAGTTATGATTTGAGACATTGCACGGCATGCTAGGTTTCGGAAAACCTATATTTGACATTATATATATGTTTTCATAAAACTTGGGAGTTAGTACGTTGATAACTGTTTTATTATATATATATATATATATATTGGTCCACTCACGTTTGTTTTGCGCCCCCTTCAGGACCTATGAACGAGGATTACAATTTGAGCTACCAGGCATTTCCCTACCAGTGATTCAGTGCTATATTTCCTCTATTTCAACACCTATTGTAATATAGCACTTCTCTATCTTAAGTTCCGTTTGTATTCTGTAATAGACGTATGCTCTGAACTTATGTGTATGACCATAATTTTATTAATTAGCAGTTGAACTTTATTATTATGTTATTAGTTCCTATTGCCTGTTTTAGCATTTTTCTCAGCTGTTAATTAAATTAAATGGCTTTCGTCACCCTTCGAGTGTCGGCCAGCACGTGACTATCCCGATGTCCCGAGGACATCGGGGTCGGGGCGTGTCATGATCACTGCCTAACAAATGCGTAGGAGTGACTCTGCTTGGTTAATCAGCGATAGGGGGTCACTGCCTACTTGGTTACTGCAGGGGTGGTTCTGCTTGGTTAATCTGCGATAGGGGGCACTTCCTGTTTGGTTACTTATGCAGGCTTTAGCCGAACTCAATCACTTTTGCCCTAGTTTTTAATGTATTTATGAACGATAATTTTTTAGAATATTTGTGGTTTGAATTGGAAAAGCCGTTGGATGTCTAGGTGACTCCTTCGGAGTTGTTAGTGACTTGACTATGATTTCATAATTATGAACTTATATTTGAGGTTTATAAACTGTGATCAATGGCCTTTCTTTTATTGAATATCACATACTTGTATTATTGTCACTCACTCGAGTTTCGCAGCTTATCCAAGTTCTGATTTGCTCAGTGCATCATTCCCATAAGGTTAGTTTAGAACCCTAGATTCGAGTGAATGAGAATTATCCACAATAGACCTTGTGAATATAAATTAGATTTACCATGTTATTATTCATAATCCAAGTAGGGAATTATACAGAGTTCTTTAATTAATTCGTGAAATTATATGTTATCTCATTGATTGATTAATGTAGTTAAAATTTAAAATCGTGCATCTTTGATTCATGAATTGATTAATTGACGGGATTATGGAATGACGTTGGATATGATTGTTATTATTATGATTATTTTAGTTGATCAATGTGGCTTAAGAGTAATGTTGTGTTTCGTTGGTTATTTGACATGTTTACATGCTGTGGATGACGGTATCATATTGAAAACATAGTGATTTATATAATGGATGGAATGGAAACCTTGAATGTCATGTAGGTCTGTTATGTAGTCCTGAACCTAGTAAATTCATGCTTGTTAAGTTCTAATAATTGATTGAGGAATGCTATACTTTTCAATGTGAACGTACTATGATACAGGTCAGAATGTAATGAATGGTGAACTACGAATGGCTTGATCTCTGTTTAGGGTACATAGGCAGTCTAACGAAGAGGTTAGATGCAGCCATAAAGTATACGAAACTTTCTACACAATTTGAATCTTGATTTATGCTTGTACATATCCTGGAGGCGGGGTATGTTAGAGATACGGATACTTGGTGACGTCATGTGTTGATCCTGGTCGTATGTCGGGATCGGGGCGTGACATTACTTCTCATGCATGCTAGTATGGCTTTGTCACCTTCAGGTGTCAGCCAGCACATGCCTACCTTGGTGTTTGGAGGATATCAGGGTCGGGCGTGTCAAATTTTGCTTTTGGTATAAACTTGAGTGTTTCCTATAATCTCTGTGTGTTTGGGGCTTGTCTTAGGAATGTGCGAAACTTTGAGAAACAATAGGTGTAAGGCTGGGTTTCATTGTATTCATAGGGTTATTCACATATCTCCTTTTCACACTAGATGTGAAGCCGAATAAAGTCTGAAAGATAGTATAGTTACTACGTGCTTTGAAGCAATATTTCATCCTTCATCATAACCATACCCACATGTTACAAAAAATTTCCAATAGTAGTTTGGTGCATGAGAATCATTTTGCGAGTTTGAGAGCTTTAAAAAAATATTGTAACTAAGTAGAGGTAACATGTGCTCTTCATTCAGATCTTCATGAGTAAAAGCGTTATGAATAATTAGTTGACGAACAATCAAACCTTGAATAACAACAATGACACTCCATTATATGTACCACTATAATTTTTCTCAAATATTAAAAAATAATGAAAACTAAAAATGTTTTATTTAAACCCCACAATTTGTTGAAAACACCCCACATTCAAAATTTCTTCTTACAATTCCAACTTTATCCTTTGTTTTGTTGAATCCACCTCACCTACCACCCACAAACAATAAAATCCCACAGCTACCCACCCCATAACCACAACCACAACCACGCCGATGACCCCATTCAATCTTAATTTTCTTTCTTTCATAGTTATGCTTTTGTTTGGCATTTGACATAGGATTGAGGGGAATGATCACACATGCATTGGGCTATTGCGATTATGGATGAAAATGTAGCCTATAAACCCCTTTCCTTCATTTCCATGATAGACTATTTGGATGTTGCGATGAAATTTTTATCTTTCCTTGATAAGCTAGTTTAGATTTATAAAGTGTATAGCTAACTACATGAAATTTCAATTTTTCTGTGTTGGCTAGGTTGAATGGAATCACGGGAGAAGGGTGGTGGTGGTGGGTGGCTGGCTGTGTTAGATTTTTTGTATTTGAGAGGTGGGGTGAATTCAACAAAAAGAAGGGTAAAGTTGGAATTGTAGGGAGAAAATTTAATTATGGGGTGTGAATAAAAAAACCCAAAAATAATTACACATGACTCACCATCACCATCAACACGTTTCTTTGCCATCCTAGTTCACGTACGTGCATGTTTTGTAATGTTTTCTAAAAATGATTTTCAAAAATTGTCATAACTATGAAAAATTAAGAGCCCGTTGGTTTAGCTTTTTAGCTGGTATTTTTAAATTATTTAGATTCCAAGTTTTGAATCTCCTTCCCATTAATATCATTCACAAAAAAGAAAAATAAAAAAACATTAAACAACTATTTTACAATTTCACCATTCCCTTCTCTTTAAATGCTTCCTTTTAGAACTCTTACCCCACCAAGGAAATCTCCTCCTTGCACAGATTTGTCTCCATAGAATCACTTCAACATTTTTCTCTTACACTGAGCTCAGACATGGAGCTTTTCGCTAAAAGAAATATTAGTTTTTTACCTCTCTGATGGTAGTAATTTTTCTTTTTAAAAAATTACAAGTACAGACACAGTGAAAGAAGCAAGTAAAAAACAGCAGCTAGCTACTGCACTCCCAGGGTATATAAGGAAAAGTAAACCCTAAGATCTGAAACTCTATATAATAAAAAAAAACTCTAGATGCAGCCGAAGCGACCATCACCATTGGAACAACAAACCCCATTGGCTCTGAGAACAAAAACCCTATACAAAAGACGACCATTCTCTTTGATTTGCAGCAAATTTGACATGAAGCTATGGAATGGTTTTAGGGAGCTTTGATTCACGCATTTGTTTGGGTTCAAATATTGGAATAATTAATCAGGTATGCTTCTACATCTTGGATATCGATCTGTTTATGTTGCGCTCTCGTGAGCTGGATTTTTGCTTACGATATCCAGAATTGTAATCTTGGAATTGTTCATTTGGATTCTTTAATTATTCATTTGAGTTTTCATCATGTCGACCCGTAAGAATGTAAAAGGGCATAGAAGAGATGCTCAACCTTTGTTGATGAGAGCTAGTTTAACGGAAGAAATCTTGTTTGACATCCTTGCAAGATTACGCGTGAAATCTCTTTTGCGGTTCAGAGGCATTTATAGATCTTGGAACAATTTAATTATCAGCCTTAGTTTCATAAACGCCCATCTTAAAAGGAATGTTGTGCAAAATTCTTGTGATCATCTACTCATCCACACTGACATGAGCAATTGCTTGTCACTCTTTGATGCTGAAACATTTTCCAAGCGTTTGGATTTTGAGCTTCCTGGTCATGATTTTGGTTTCGTTGTTCACAGTCCGTGCAATGGATTATTTTGCATCTCTAATTCTGCATTGATGACCTTGGAAAGTCCGGAACATCTATGGAACCCATCAATCAGAAAATTGAAAAGACTTCCCAATGGCCTTCAACATACAACTGTTTTCGTTCATCTAGGGTTTGGGTTTCATGGTGAGGTTGACGACTATAGGGTTGCGAGGGTTGCGAGGTTTCTATGCAACAAAAGTATCTTTGGGATTGAGGTTTACAATCTTAGACTGAATTGTTGGAGGACAATTACCGCGGTGCCTCCTGTTTCAAATGATGTCAATTTTTTGCAATCTGCGTGCGTTTTCCTGAACGGAGTTGTCTATTGGATCACAAAGGAGCCATCTCAACATAGCCCTTCCATCCTTACTTTTGATCTCGGCAACGAGGTTTTTCAAAAGATTCTGCTTCCTGAGACAACGGTCGAAGTGCCCACTGACGTCGGCATTCAAGTGGTTGAGAACTCAATCTCCTTGTTCCAAGTAAGAACAGACAGGCTTGGCTTGTACTGTGACATAAGCGTTTTGGAAGTGGATACTTGGAAAATGATGCAGACAATTATTTTTCCATACTCTAAACTGTTGGAATTTTTGGATCGCTGGACCCGCCCCACTCTAACGACACCGATACTGTCCCCACTTAACCACCTGCACAATCCTCAGGTGTGGGGTTTTACCACAAAATGCCTCGGTATTAGTTAGAGTGGGGTAATACTATTTAAACCCCTTTGGTTTTCTTCACCCCACCGATGTGGGACAGTTTAACACTCCCCCTCACGTGTAACCTCATTTAGTGGTTCACACGTGGAGATCCACATCGGTGGTTGAAACTCAGAGGTCGGCTGACGTTGGGCCCACTTGTTTTCAATTGGAACTCAGCGGTCGTCTCTATATTAAGAGCTCAGACTTGTTTCCTTCCAGGTGATGACAAGCTCGTTGGCTTGCACGGGCCCGCAACCGTGGGCAATGATGTATTTTAGAGATGTGTAGGAAGAAGAAGTTTAGAGAGAAAGTGAAGAGGCAGAGAGTGTTCTCAAAAATATCTCTGTGAGAGCCAAAAATGCTCTCTACATATATTCCTTCAGAACCTCAACATTTACATGACACTAGGGAGAGAGAAGCTATGTGAGCCTATGAGCTCATCATACCATCCATTACAAGACCCTATGAGATCTTGACACATGCTTACATCTGAGCCTAGCACAATATTATCTAATCTCAGCCCTTGATCACAAACAGATTTATTTACACATGCTAAAGTAAGGAAAATACAGTTTAGACCTTAATCAACTAACACTCCCTTCTAAGGTCTTAACTGAGATTACCCCAAGCTTATCCCTCAGAGCACAGAACCTGTCTTTAGCAAGTGCTTTGGTGAAAATGTCAGCTAGTTGCTCCTCACTTTTGCAGTATTGCAGGTCAATTGTTCCTTCCTGAATTGCATCTCTGATGAAATGAAACTTCCTCTTGATATGTTTAGACCTCTGATGGAATACCGGATTCTTTGACATTGCAATTGCTGATATGTTATCACACATCAAAGGAGTTAGTTCGATCAATTCTTCACCAAAATCATGCAGCACAAATCTCAGCCATGTAGCTTGAGTGGTGGCTTCTGAGGCACTCATATACTCGGCTTCAGCAGTTGAGAGTGTAACACTATGTTGCTTTACAGAAGCCCAAGAAAATGCACCACTGCCAAAACTGAAAGCATACCCTGATGTGGACTTCATGTCATCTTCATCTCCACTCCAATCACTGTCACAAAATCCTATGAGTAGAGCTGCATTTCCCTTTTCATACTTAATTCCATAGTCAACAGTTCCTTGCACATATCTGAGGATCCTCCTTGCAGTGCCAAGATGTTTAATGGAAGGACAGTGCATGTACCTGGCAAGTACACATGCTGAGTACAAGATATCAGGCCTTGTTGCAGTTAAGTATAGCAGGCTGCCGACAATTTTCCTATACAATTCTTCATCTGCAGCTTCACTCCCATCACCTTTCCTTAGCTTATCCATGGGAGATAAGGGTATTAAGACAGATTTGCAGTTTTTCAAACCAAACTTGTCCAGTAAACTCAGTGCATACTTTTTCTGGTGAATAAAGATACTCCCTTCTTGTTGGATTACTCCAATTCCAAGAAAATGATGCAACAAGCCTAAGTCGGACATCTCATACTTGTTCATCATATCACATTTGAAATCTTCAATCATTTCTAAACAGCTTCCAGTATAAACTATGTCATCCACATATATAGAGACAATCAGAGTTCCCTGTCCATCCACATGTTTCACATATAAGGTGGCCTCACTTGGACTCTTGTTAAATCCACTCTGCAGCAAATGAGTATCAATATTGCTGTACCAAGCTCTGGGAGCTTGTTTTAGACCGTACAACGCCTTTTTTAACTTATATACTTTGTGTTCTTCTCCCTTGACAATATACCCATCTGGCTGATCTGTATACACTTCCTCTTCAAGGATCCCATTCAGGAAAGCAGACTTTACATCTAACTGATACAGTTTCCACCCTTTCTGTGCTGCCAAAGCAATAAGTGTTCTTATAGTGTCCAATCTAGCCACAGGTGCAAACGTCTCATTAAAATCAATTCCGGGCTTTTGAGTGTACCCTTTGGCAACTAATCTTGCCTTGTGTTTTTGTACAGTGCCATCCAAATTCAATTTGGTTTTGAAGATCCATTTTACCCCAACAATTGGTTTGTCACTTGGCCTATCAACCAATCTCCAAGTGTTATTCTTCTCAATCATAGTAATCTCCTCATCCATTGCTTTCTTCCAAGCTTCATCTTGAGAAGCTTCAATGTAGTTCTCAGGTTCAATGACACTGAGTCTACACTGAGCAAACACTTCATTCAGATCTCTCCACTTCTTTGGTGTGTTGTCATAAGTTTCTGTGAGTGGAATTTCACTCTCCATATTCACAGTGTTAGGAGCATCATTGTATACACTGGAAACATACTCACTTCTTGTATTTAGGCAAGATAAATCAGAGGAACTAATATTAGTTTCTTCACACACACCATTTTCTATCTCAGTTATGCTTATACCCTCATTAGCTTCTAAGAAAGGTACAGAGAAACGCACAGTTTCCATATTCTCCCAATTAAGAGCAGCATCTTCATCAAAAATAACACTCCTTGAGACAATGATCTTGTTGTGTTTCAAATCATACACCCTGTAACCCTTTTCTCTTGTCCCATATCCAACAAATACACCTTTCTGTCCAGTTTCATCCAGTTTCTGTCTTAACTGGGTTGGCACATGAGTGTAGCAAACAGAACCAAAGATTCTCAAGTGTTTTACCCCTGGTTTTCTACCACAGAATTCTTCAAAATGAGTCTTGTTCTCTAGTGCTTTGGTAGGACACCTGTTAAGCAAGTAGACAACAGTGTGAACTGCTTCACCCCAGAACTTGAGTGGTAATTTTTTTTCATAGAGCATGGTTCTTGCCATCTCTACTATGGTACGATTCTTCCTCTCAGCAATACCATTTTGCTGGGGAGAATAAGCAACAGTGAGTTGCTTTTCAATACCAACATCTTCACAAAAATTTTCAAATTCTAGAGATGTATACTCTCCTCCTCTGTCACTTCTGAGTTTCTTCAGTTTGTAACCAGTTTGTAGTTCAGTCATGGCCTTGAACATTTTTAAAATTCTGAATACCTCAGATTTTCACTTCAGAAAATAGACCCAACACATTCTGGACTTGTCATCTATGAAGGTGAGAAAATACCTGCTACCTCCATGTGTCTCATTCATGGGTCCACACACATCTGTGTGTACAAGTTCTAAAGGCAACTTTGCTCTCCATTTCTGTTCTTTGCTAAAAGCCTCTCTGTGAGCCTTTCCAGTAGCACACCCTTCACACACCTGATTGTACTCCTTTAGATATGGCAGACCATACACCAAAGAAGTGGAGAGATCTGAATGAAGTGTTTGCTCAGTGTAGACTCAGTGTCATTGAACCTGAGAACTACATTAAAGCTTCTCAAGATGAAGCTTGGAAGAAAGCAATGGATGAGGAGATTACTATGATTGAGAAGAATAACACTTGGAGATTGGTTGATAGGGGGGAGTGTTAAACTGTCCCACATCGGTGGGGTGAAGAAAACCAAAGGGGTTTAAATAGTATTACCCCACTCTAACTAATACCGAGGCCTTTTGTGGTAAAACCCCACACCTGAGGATTGTGCAGGTGGTTAAGTGGGGACAGTATCGGTGTCGTTAGAGTGGGGCGGGCCCAGCGATCCAAAAATTCCAACATAAACTAGCATGGCCATTAGGGATGGAAGCAAATGGCAGACTTCATTTGGCTATAAAAGGCGACAATCCAGATCACCCACAATTGGTTTTATTTGATCCCGAGTCTATCCAAATTAGGGTTACTGGAATCGGGTTGAATTGCGAGTACTTAGCCTATGTTGATATCTATACTGAGAATCTAACCTTACTAAACTGAAGTTTAATTTTGACTTTGATCCTGAGTTACATTATATATGCATGTATATCTTTTTAGATTATCGTGTGTTGAAGTTGTTGAGTTTTCTAGCCGTTAACTGATAGGGTTTACTGCTAGGGTTCCTAGTTTTAGGGTTGTTAATCACGTAGGAGTCCAATAATCCCTATACTTGAGGGACAAGCTGCATTTTCATGTTTTGACGTAGTCTTTACTACGATTATAGGACCTGTAAAATCGTGGGCAGTTGCTTTTATTTCTGTTCAAGTGTAAGGCTATTTAATAGCCATGATAATTGCTTTCCATTTATTAAGAATTCTCCCTGGTTTTATGTAAGCTTTCGAACTTTGCATTACAGTAATTCTTTGCAAGTTTCTGGTTCCAACATCGTGAACCTTTAGCAAAATGTACGGTTGGTTTGGTGCTGTGTAATCGACTCGAATATTTTAATAAAAATGAAATTTTCTGCTGATACACTAAAGAAATGGCACTTATGACTATTTTTGTCTTGCAATTTACCCATTCCATTTTAGCAATCTATACTCCAAATCGAATACTTTCCATTTTTTTTCACTCATATATAGGAGTGTGTGAGGCTAAAAGGAGTATTAAAAACTCACTAATTAACCATAGTTGTGCTTCAAAATCGTCCCTGAGTTTATGTTGGTGACTGATATACACCTTCACAATGAGGGCTTATTCAAACTTCATTAAAGAGAGAAAAGGAAAAAAACCCAAAGTAAGAGATGATGCAACGTGGAGAGGAACAGAATTATTACACAAGGTTCCAATCAGAATTTTTTTATTTTTTATTTTTATTTTTATTTTTATTTTTAAATAGGGAACAAATTCAAACAACCAAAGAGAAGGTAGTAGTAATTAAACATAGTACAAAATCCTTTTTTCTTTATAAACAGTACAAAATCCTTATGTAACCATCATCCAACTTTGGAAATATATGCCATAGTGTTAACCCGAAAAAAAAAACGATATATATGTGATACTGTTAGGTGTAATATTTTTTATTTTTTTTAACAAACCATTAAGTGGGAGAGGGTAAACTTAGCCTCACAATGAGCTAATAATAATGTTGTTCAAATCCGCCTTTAGCGAGAATCATAAGACCTTTCATTTACAAGTGAAGGAGAATACCACTAAATCATAGAGTACTAAGTGTAATATTTATAAGCTTAAGCAATTCGTAAATTGTCTTAGTATATACGGTCATCTTTCTCTTTGACTTCACTGTGTCTAAAGTTCCAACTATATCCCTCTCCCTCTCCTTACTGAAGTATTTAGAGTAGACATATCGTTTATAATAAAAATAAAAAAAGAATTATAAGCTTAAAGTTTTCATTACTATTAGCAATGTCTGTCAAAATAAATATTGTCCAACATGAACCAAAAACCTAACAAAATAACATTGTCAGGTAAAAAAATGAGGTGTCGGATTTGGAGTTAGATGAAATAATTCGTATCGTGAATGGCCTTGGGAAAGTAAAAACAAAAAACCAATTTTGAGAAGCCTACTTCAAACCATAGAAGGGATATTGTTCTAATGACATTTCAAGTGGATGTAACATGTATTATGCATTATTTTATCTCCATGATCAAAAGCTTTTGGAACATCCAATTGATGAAAGACCAACATTGAGTAGCAACAGACACTTAGTACTACGATTTAGTAATATTTCTATTCATTTGTAATTGAGATGTCTTACGTTCGATTCTCACCAAAGACAAATTTGAACCACATCCAACCTTAGTTTGGCTATGGAGTTAGAGTCTCGTTTTCTCTCATGGTTGGGTTTTTCTCTGGGTTTTTGTTTCTATGATTCTTTAGCGCGTGTTTATATTTTAGTTCATCAATTCCTTTCGGGGTTTTGTGTTGATCATGCACTTCTCTTCCAACCTTTAAAACAGTACAGTTCCCATTTACCTACCCACACCTTATTGGCCCTTTTAATTCAATTTTTCTCCGTTGTTGGTATTTTACTATTTTTTTATCCTTCCTTTTTGGTTTGGTTTTTTTTTTTTTTTGGGACCTTTTATCCACATTTTTTTATCTTTCGACACGAGTTACAAACACACAACCAAAGAGAGTGCTTGGTCCATCACGGGCCTACTTTCAGAAAGATCCACTTGATTGTATGGGCATACACATGACGTGGTCCTCTAGGCAAAAACAAGAGTTTCCCCCTTTGAAGGGGTCGTCAACATGTTAATTTAACACCAAACAACAATGGGTGCATAGCTTTGAACTGGAATAAATATAACCCTTCAGTTTTATAAATACAGGCTGCAACAATAGAATTTATAATATACAAATTCTGCTTTTCAATCTCTATGCATATATAGGCAACTCCAGCATTTTGTTGTCAAAGATTGTATTTTCTAAGCTCTGGAGAGGTTCTTGAGGGGCGAATTATCGATTTAGTATACGCAATAGGCAAGGCAAGTAGTTTCTTAGCTTTGCTTACATAAGCCCTTCTTGTGAAGTTGTTGTAATCGTTAGCTTCTATCTCGTCCAATATTTGGCGATACAGGAGTAGCGACGCCAATACCTGCAACGGTTTAATGTTTTGATCAGATGTTTTAGAAAAATTTGGACGGTTGATCGGATAGACACAATAATTTTTCGTGAAAGTTTAACTAGAACCAAGTAGGATCTCATATCTTTGTCAGTTTTTGTTTCATATTTACTAAACTTGCGAGGCTTACCGGCCATCTGCTGGCTTCACTCAACTCTGTCACTCCCTTCTCTGCCTCGTCGAAGAACATCCTTGCCCTCTTAATTTGATCCTTCATGAAACTCCTCCATTTGTCTGTGACCTTTCCAGCATATATATCAGCGTCGGAGAGCCCTGCTTCTTCAAGCTCATCTTGGGGTAAATAAATTCTTCCTCTCCTTGCACTGCTCAAGAGAATGTTTGTCAGTGGGATACAAACTACAACATTCATGAAAGTGATTGCTCCTAGTACTAATATCGAGAGTAAGAGATCAAGAGAGAGTGAGAGAATGAAGTCTGTTATAAGATTCCAATTGCATCTCTGTCTCTTCTCTCGCTCTAATTCAACTAAAGTTAGAGAATTGTGTCTTGCAGTCTTATGTGACTTTCGAAAGCAAGCAGCTAAAATATCAGACTTTGTCAGAGCTATCTTCAATTGAATATACCAGCTTACTCTATAGCTTTGGGCACTTTTGTTTCAACAATGTTGCTAACATGACTAAAATGTTCAGTTATAAATCGTTAATGTTGTATACTTACTCCTCCCCAACATCACGGAGTATGTTTGTTAGCTGATTCGCAATCCCTAATGCCAAGGCAGCATTATATACACTCTCCGTTGTTGCTTGCGATTCAGGTGAAATGCCCATAACTGGAACACTCATTAATCCAACAGTTCCGGCAACATAATAGCAGTAAAGATATAGTTCATCGAAGTTTTGGTATCTTGACTTCCTGAGGTCCATTCTCATTCCTTCTATCATATCTTTGAATGGCTACAGAAAGAGCACAAGGTGGAGTCAGAACTCAGAAGTTACTCAAAAAGCAAAGCCTTCAATTAAATTCACAAGCTTTCCCGTTGTTTTGATTTAACTATCAATCAAATTGGAAAGGGAACTTTTCGGTGGATGAAAATGGATACGTATTCAACTCAAATGTTTCTAAGTTCCTTTTCACATTTCAAGATACAGTTTCAAAAGAAGAAAGATAAAAAGACAAAATTAGTATCACACATGCAAAAACTAAGTCTTTAAAGATGAAAGCAAAAAACTTAGGCCTTTTGACTTTATAAAATCTTTGAGCAGTAATTCTAACCTGAATGTCAACCGGAAATTTGGTGACCGTATCTGACAAAGCAGCATCAAGCATATCAAATGGACGACCTTGGAACAGATCGTCCAATCTCAATTCCCACCTATCTAAAGCTGTGGGTGTTATGTGTGAAGCATTAGGCCCATCAACAAGCTCATCCGTCCTCCTGCACCACACTATATGTGCAAGAGATCATAAGGCAATATGTTTTGTCACTTGTGCTGAAGTGAAGAGTAAGCATCCATGGAAAATATATGTTTCACAGAAAATGTATTATCTGAGAAGAACAGAAAGGACTAATCTCCTGACCACCTCTGTCATATGCTACTCAAGCAAATAATCAGTATAATATACGCTGCAGTACAATTTCTACTCCTCCTATTTCTCCTCTCAATCTCTTTTCTGTCCCTCTCTCTTCACAGAAAGGATGTACATTAACTTCGCTTCACATTGATGGTAGTGCATGGTGTTTTCGAAGTTTGAGAAGAAATTTTTGTAGCGATGCAGGAGTTCACAACTCGCAAGAAAATTAATCATATAAGGAGAAAAGACGAACAATACATGTTCTCACTTTGGTTCATTCAGATAGGACATGTGAAGGCTGGTCTTCAATATTTAGAAGATGATGAATTTTCAAGACCTCTTGTCCTTAAATTGAATTTGAATTCGGACAAGTTGAAGACAATCAAATCATTCTTCGTAAACACAGATTCAGTGGACAAGTATTACTTTTATGATCTCACAGTTTCGCTCTCTGCTAAAGGTAACCTACCAAATATATGGAATGTACTTTTGCTACCAAAAGGAATAAACGCTTCATTTAGGATTCAGTCCAAAGTATCAGAATAACAGTTATAGTCACTCACCATATATTGCCCAGATGGCCCTTCTTCTTTCGGGCGTCATAAGCAGAGTACCTGAAAAAGTGAAAAAGAATAAGAATTAGGCAACTCCAAAAGATTAGTAATTGCAGTTAGACCACTACTTTAGCTGCAAAGTTCAACCAATATGCCTTTAAACAGCCAAAATAAAAATTATGCAAGAGAGGACCAACCGAGGTAAAAAGTCTTGGCATACTCTGCACATACTTCTCCACATCGATCATAAGCTTTACTCAACAAGCTCAGATTCCCGGGAAGAATAATATCCGGCTTCACATCAAGATATCCATTAGACCTCAACTGCTTCTTAACCAGGGATGCCTGCTTCAGCACCACGTCATACACCTTCTGTTCCGACGAGACAGCTGATTCTCCAAGCGGGTTGGCCACCATGCTTAATGAAACTGGAAATTTGGCTTCACTCCCTAAACCAGACCCTCCTACTGATGAATACTTCACATCTGTGCTGAGAGAGCAAGATTTCCAATCCTGTTTCCCACCCATCTTTGCTCTAATCGAACTTCGATTCCCAAAAACAAACCTCGATGAATCTAAAATCCCATAGAATTTGAACACCTCGGTGTTGGGGGAAACAACCCAAACTAATGCCACAGACATGTTTGTTTCAACTTGAAAGCACCAACCTCAGCCCACCAACCAAATAAACTCTAGCCAGATATGCCTTGTCGTCTTACACTTCTTTCTCAAACCTTAATTCACACAAAAACTCATTTCATTCAGTTTCATCATCCTGTTTGAAAGCAAAGTATAAGCCCACAAAAAATGGAGAAAAAAAACAGCCGAACAAACTCTAACTACTTGATTCCTCACTTACCCAAAACAGAAAAGCAAAGGCTTTTTTATTCGGCTCCCGAATCCCTCTAACTCGATTTTAATCTTACTTTCTCCCTTAAAACTCAAACTTCGCCACTCAACTCCTGTAACTCGATCTTTGTTTCACTTGTAAATAAAAAAGCATTAACAACAACAACAAACATAAATTGAAACTAAAATGGTCAACAACTTGACAAGCAGATAATCACTGAATGCCTGAAACAAATATTTGTAAGCAAAAACTGTGCCCACTTTTGTAGCATCAAAGAGGGGAAGTAGAACAACGGGTTCTCTACCTGTTTGTTGGGTTTGTAGGATGCTGCTTTTGCTTAGAGACCCACTTCCACTGTCTACTTAAAGAAAAAGCAGCATCAGCATCTTCCAAAAAACCAAGTTCAAAGCGTCACCATCTTCCCCTAAAAAAATACAAACTAACAACGGCCATTAAGACGTTTTCCTCCATAACCCGACACCTCACCTCTCCACTCTTCCAGACTCTCTCTCTCTCTCTCTCTCTAGATTCTCTCTCTAACTACAATGCGTTTGGTTCTTAACTTGTTTCTCTGTTTTCCAATTTCCTACAAAAATGTATTTTCTTCTGGTTTTCTAATTTTTGTTTATATATTTTTAACCCTAAAACTGAGATTTGGCTGATTCATTTGTTTCTTGTGCATTCCCTCAAATCTTGGTTTTTTGGATTTGGTTTGTTTGTTTGTTTTTTTTTTTTTTTTTTTTTTTTTTTTTGGTAAGCAAGTTGCGACCTTTCGTCATAAGATAGGGCATGAAATAAAATGCTGCAAATGTTTCATCCCTTTTAAGTTTCCTTCAATTTCAACTCGACCCGTTTGCAAGTTCGGGTTGACTTGGATTTTTTATTTTATTTTATTTTTTAGAGTGCTGCTAGGTCCGTCTGCTTGATATATTTTTCCAACCACCTCATAGGCATTTATCATGAACATTTAGATGAGTCCGTTTAATGAAACAAATGCGTGGACATAGTAGCACATTTTTTTTAAGTATCTATAGAATGTTTTAATATATGAATTCTCTGCATTTACTAACATATGTAGATCAAAACACTCGATAATCAAATACTTTGCAACAACTAAATAGTTCTCTACATCTACTTTGCAACACTTGATTGTTGGCTTTGATGAATCACACGATATTGATCGAGGGTATGCTGAAATGCGTGCATCCTTAAAAAAAACTGTCGTGTCAAGCCACCAACTAGTGCTCTTTAAAATAAATAAATAAATAAAAGAAAACTGAATTCTTCACATTTACGAACACCTAAAATAAGTGACTGGTCGAATTCTCATTACTTCCTCCATCTCCAAGTTCTCTAATTCTTCACATTTGATAACAATATTGTATGATATATGGTTATTGCAATTAGTGATTTCAAAATTTAACATATTACCTTCATAAGTTTTGTTTCTAGGGAGTTTTAACAAAAACCACATTTTTACCTTTTCCTGGTATTATTCATTAGACCTTTATTTGTTATTTTACATTAAAACTAAATTTTTTTTTTTTTAACTTTTCATTAGTTTTCCTTTGTTTTCTATGCAAAGTTATGATCACAATTTAGAGACATGTTTTGTTTTTAGGAGTAGGATTCTCTTCCCTCTTTTTTTCCCTTCTATTAGGATTCTCTTCCCCTTTTTTTTTCCCTCCCATTACCTCTCCTCTTATTTGAACGGTTATGTTAAGTCAAGTCAACATTTTATATTAATTTTTTTTTATAGAAAAATAAAGACAAAATAGAGAATGTGAGAGAAGTTGATGGAAATATGAGGTGAGAGATTTTAAAGTATAAAAATGGCATGTCGGTTGCATATGACACTGTTTTTATTCGAAATAGGTGGACCAAATTAATAATTTATAACTTTGAAAAGTCGGTGAGTTATAAAAAGGTCCGAACCCGTACCCGGACAAGAGACCCGAGAGTAAGAGTCAGCACTTTATCCAGAAAGCAAGAAAATGGCAATCCAATAAGGATGACAACGCGGAAAAGCCGCCCAATCACTGGAGGATAACCTTATCAAATGCCAAACAACAGAAAGGTGATGGGTGGGATAGTCCACGTGGCAAATGCTGAGCATGCAATTGAATCCTTTCACTTGATTAGGGGAGAGGAAAAAGTTGTGTGTAAATGAATCCAAGTTAGGTATCATAACATTTCCCGTGTCACGAGTGTACGACAAAGTTGATACATTTCACGTTTTAATTCACATCTTATACGCCATACGGAAGAATAAGACATTACGTAACTGTATTTTAAGTACAGTGAAAAATTGCTATAAAACTAGGAGATATTTTTGACCAAAAACCCTTCACGAGGTGTTTCTATGGCGGTGCTATGTTTATGTTTCACATTTTATAATTGAGTAAACAACCATGACTCATATATTTTATTTTAAAATATAATTAAAATAAATATATTTGTTAAAATCTAAGTGAATGATAACACCACATAATATGTTCCGGACACAACAACAACGAAAAAAAAAAAATACACTCATGTAAATAGTGATGCCACATGCATAGCGACTATTGGACCAATTCGTGAACACGTGACAAATTTCTAATCAAGCGCGCAACGCGACTGAGATTATGCACTATTTGCAAGAGAACACCTCTCAAAAAAAATTAAGCGAGAAAGTGCGAGTGATGGTGTGGCGTACTGTAGCATTGTGGGTGTGAAGTCATCTGGTTGGGTGATTGTCGTTTATTATTTGCCCAACTAAATATTCCAAAGGAAAATTAATAAAAAAAATACTTGAAAACTTTGAGTTTTAACGATAAGAACAAAATAAAAAGTAAAGTAAATTGTACTAAGATTGACTTTTTAATGTAAAAAAATATGATTTTTCGTTAAAATGAACAAGATCGAAGATTTTTGGTTAAAATTCTTAATATTCAAAGACAAAAAGTGTGAGGGTGGGGATGTGAGTGCGATTGTCGTTTTGCTTTTTAGTGTTTGCGTATTTGTATTGGACATGGAGTGCAAAATTGCGTCGGAAAGGACTGACATAGCTTTGGTGTTGGGGGCCCATTGTCCACAAGTTTCGGTTGAGGATTCGAATGTCAGGTATTTGGACACGTAGTCCTTTTGCACTTTCTCTGGCCTTCTATTGTTGTATGTACCACCAATAATTCGTCACCATGCTATTTTTTCCCTAATACAATCATATATTTACGCATATCGGATGAGATGTGATTAGTCGTATAATCAGTCATAATAATTTGATTTATATTCCGTCTAAGATCGTAGTACTAGTACCGAGTTACATCCATAACCATGCATTTGATCTCATGTTAGCTAACTAGTCGTACAACCATGTGGAGGTGTGCCTAATTTATGTGTTATTTTTCTTAAAAGAGAATCAACCGGTTGAGAAGTCAAAGCAGTTCATATTTTCAGAAGTTGAGAGGAATCGCAAAGGCATTTGAACCTTTTTCTTGTCACCATCGTGTAATTTACACACATAAAAAATCGAACTCATAACCAATCATGTGAAATATGAGTCGGAAATTTGTCCCAACCATTGAATCATCATATGGTGGTTCTAATCTATGTGATATTTAAAAATGGGGCATTGGAGAATAAACACTTGGAACCAACGAAGATGACTTTTACCAGCAAAATGCTGATTGTGTCATGTGATATGTCACGATCCAAATTGAGACAGAATTTTGAGACAGTCCAAGTTTTGTGAACTTGTTCATTTATCAAGAACTCTATATTCCAGATTATTTTCTTTTATTAACCCCTAAATCGAGATTAGGGCTCTTTTTCTTTGATGGTGCTGCTATAGTTTGATTTGATGACGTCAACTATTGTTTTGTTGGATGGTGATCCTTTGATGTATTTGTTATCAAAGCTTTCATACTTAAATTATAACACGTGTATATACTTTAAAAGTAAAATAAATCAATTATGTTATTATAATGCGTAAAATAATACACCACGTAACTTATGTTATGAGTCTCTATATCCCCCTCTACAACTCAGTCCAACCAAAAGGCTCTCTCTTTTTTCTTGAAAACCCAGAAGGCTATCTTGGATCAAGCCAGTGGGATGAAAAATGGGTCCAAGATAGAGGGAGAAAGTGAGTTGGAGAGGAAAAGGATCCGGCCCGTGATCTTACCCCGTTCATCGTACATCGTACGATCATAAATCATTTCAAAATTTAAAATTTAAGATCAAATATGAATAGTACTTAACAAAAAATGACCGCATGATATAGGATGAATATGTGAGATCATGGGATCCTTAGGATGGCTAGGAAAAAGGATCCTTTTCCGGTTGGAGAGCTCCTTCTGGCGGACTTGCGCAAACATTACACCAATTGGGCAATTAGCATGACGACCAATTTTTTATACTTGGTTGCAAAAATGATCAGGTTTATCTTTGTTGTGCAGTTGTTTGAGTACACATTATACGATATCATTATCAAAACTGATTATTTATGCAACTAAATCTCAAAATTTGATTTTCGAAGAGGATAATTTTCTTGTCGGTGTGTGGGTTCAAATTCGGTAGGCCGACCTTAAAACACAATCTTCATTAAGCAGGATACACTCAAATTGTACCAATTCACGGTTTCTCGTCACACAACAGATGTTTTTGAATGCTCAGATTGTACCAATTCAAAACATGTGAAACAACAGCAATGTTTTTCTTTAAGGCAGATATATGAAACACATCATAGATACTACTAGATAGGTAAGGTGGAAGAGCTAATCTATAAGAAACCTCACCATCACCAGCTAGCTTCAAAGCTTCGAAAGGTCCAATAAAACGGGGAGCAAGTTTTTTGCCGTTGCCAAACAGTTTAATTCCATAACATGGCTTAACCTTAAAGAACACACGGTCTCCAGACTCCAACCTCTACGTTCGGTGATTGCCTTCTTTGTTTAGCATGACTTTTCAAACGGCTTTTGGGTTGTGTAGACTGTTTCTCTGTTTTGATAGCCTCCCTAACAAAGTCAGCACACCAAAGAAAATAAATAACTGATCGAAACTTCGTTAGCTTTTGCATACCCTACTGACAGAAGATGATGTATTTTTAAAACTAGTGGGGCACAACATAGCCAATTTATATATTTCATATTTGCATTTTGTTTAATCAGTGGGAGAAGTAACAATAATATGCAGGTAAACAAGTTGTATTGATCCATCGAGCAATCGGCATGCTTTTGAATCAATTCCTCAAGCGAAACATATAACTCGGTCTTTTATAAAACATAAAATAAAAAACTGCTTTAAGTTCTACTAATTTCACCATCAATGATTGATACGAACAAGTGGAAGTGTAGAATCTGTGACAGAACTAGTAACCTACAGTACGACAAGCAAACGAATTTGATGCTTCTTTGAAATACCTACAGCTTTCAGCAAAATTAGTAACTCGACAGTGATCTTGTATTTTGAATCAGATGGGGTGCAATGGTTTGAATGGATTCATCAAGCAAGGTACATTTTACTAGATGCAAAATATATGCCTACAAACTTCACCTTGGCTAATTGACATGAACAAGAGAAAATGCAAAACATATGCAGCAGAAAACAACCAATTACTATAGAACAAGCCAATTACAGTTTATCTAGAATTGGTCTCTATAATTTTCAAACAACGGGTTTTTTGTAGTTTTAAAAGTGTTCAAGCAGAATTTCTCTCTTATTTTTTGCCAAATGCTCATGCAGAATTGACATCCTAAACGAAAGTTAGAATTTTAAGTAACACACACATGTAGAAATGACCAATTACAATTTATCTAGAATTGGTATCTACAATTTTCAAACAACTGGTTTTTTATGTAGTTTTAAAAGTGCTCAAGCAGAATCTCTCTTTATTTTTCGCCAAATGCTCATGCAGAATTGACTTCCTAAATGAAAGTTAAAATTTTAAGTAACAGCACGCACATATATATGTATATGGGTGTACATGGTGGAAGTAGATACACTCACCCAGAAGCTGATGTTGATGTTTCAGGTTTATCTGTTAGACCGAGGGACGATAGCGGCTTTGAAAGGAACTCCACAGGATCAGCTTCATGGTAACTACTAGAATCCACCGGCCATCTCATTGGAATAGCAGTGCCCTTATCAATACATTTGTGTTTGCAACGATTCATCGTATCCACTGTATAACTCCCAAAAATGACGTCAAGACGCTTTGCTAGTCTAGGTATATCTGAAGATGTCACGATAGCCCAAACCTTCATCACCTGAATGTAATCTGAATTCTCTTGAATAATATCCACAGTCCAAATGAGATTCAGCAGCCTATTGACTTTATACGTCTCTAACAGTTGAGAAGAAGTCCCGTCATGAACTATCATTCCCTTAGCCTTGTGTGCTTGACGCCATCCACTTGAAAGCTTCGTTAGTAGATTAAACACTTCTCGTTGAACCCAATTGTCTTTTATCTTTGCTATGGATTTCTCAAATTGATCAGTGAAGCAAACCTATATGGAATAGATTGACATACAATATTGTAACAACCGAACATCACACTGCATTTTACAATGTAAAAAAGAAGAAATTTTCTTTAGACAGGGTTGATCTCCTTTCGTTCTCCTCATATAATTTACAGATGTTCTTCCTCTCCATCTTTAGAAATTTACAGAAAGTTAAGTAATAAAAAATCTACAGCAAATTAACAGAAAACTTTTGTAGGCCATGACGTTGTTTAGTTTAGAACAGCAACATATAGAAAATAATTAAATGGACGAATAGCAGCATACCTTCCATCTTGCATTTTTGAACAGCAGAGATTCAATATTAAGTAGACCATGAAATTGGTCAAGCTCCAGCAGGGCAATGGCAATAGCCTGTGCCAAGTTCTTGTCCTCGTCAGCATTGTGAAAACAATTGCGTCCCTTGGCATCAAGTACTAGCTTCGTCCAGATAGAGTCACTGTTAACCAAGGTCGACGCACTCCCCAATATCCAAAGACAATACCTACACAGACACAATCAAAACCACTAAATTCAAAACCTCCAGTAACTCAGACATTCCAAATTAAGCTGCATCATGAATGATTCTACGTAACGTAATTCTATAAAAGTACTACCGTGCACGTGTAAGTGCAACATTTGCCCTTTGACGGTTGGACAAGAAACCAATTGAACCATTCACATTACATCTGACAGTGGAGATAATTATCACATCCTCTTCACCACCTTGGAACCCATCAACAGACCGCACATTTACGGAGAATCGAGCGTCACAATTTTTACTGTATTTTTTCACCCTCTCTTGAATTGCATAAACTTGAGCCTTGTATGGTGATATGACTCCAATACTAACCTTCTTCTTTGTGCCGATGAATTCTGTAGCCAAGAAAAAAAAATTAATAAGAACTAGTTTTTTTGTATATTTATATACAAACTTCCTACGATAATTCTCAAAATAAACATATCAATGAGGTTAGACAACAATAGAAATACCTTTGTAAAGTCTTGCAACTATCTCAGAGACCACAGCAACCTCCAACATATTTTTCCGACTATGACCATGATCAAATTCATCTTTTCCATTGGCTACATTTATGAAGGAGTAGGATTGGTACATCTTTCCCTCAAGGAAGCGCCTCTCATAGCTTCTTTCAGTGACATTCGGACCATCTAATAACTGATTGTTATAAAACTCCATTTTCGGAAATAAGCTGATGGATGGATGCATCCTATATTGGATATTGAGAAGATGCTTCCCGTATCCCAACATTGTCATCCTTTCGAACAAACTTCTTCCAAACTCAGCCGCTGCCGCTTTCTAATGATATGATCCAATTCATTATTATGATATTACAATAATATACAAGTTATTATAGTCATTTGAAAAAGTAAAGAACACGAAGGATAAAAGTAACACCTCGCTTATAACCATAGCAGGGAGTTGCCGCTCATCTCCTATTAGAATAGCATGGCGGAGACCAGGCAGTTGTAAAGGAATTGCGGACTCACATTCTTTAAGCTGAGCAGCTTCATCAACGACTAACAATTCCAGTGGTCTCTTCGCTGATGCGTTGTGCAATTTGGCAGAAGAAGATGCAGTACAAAATATTAAGCAAGCATTTTGCAAGCAGAAACTTCTTATTGAAGGAGGGCTAATAATTTCTGGGACACTGAATTCCTGAGGAAGCAGCTTCAGTTTACAAACACACTTTTTTCCCAACTGTGTAAAGCAACAGGCAATGCTTCCTGAAACTTTGAAATCTTTTAGGACTAAATTTAAACCTTCCTTAGCAACACTGATACTATGCATGGAAGATTTAAAGGACTTGAGCAAACCCAAAGCTTCAACCATGTCCTTCACCACCTTCAGTGAAATGCAAGAAGTTGGTAAGTGAGTGTGCAAATTTACCAAACAAATCTTCAGTGGCTCAAAAATTGAATCAAATTCTTTCTTCACAAACTCCTCAAACGTCAATGGATCATCCTCTTTTACACTTTCGGTGTTTCCTTTAGTACCCTTCCCATTTCCTTGAGCACTCTCTTTGTGTTTTTCTGCTCTCTTCATGTTTTTCTTCTGATTTCCTTGAGCACTCTCTTTGTGTTTTTCTGCTCTCTTCGTGTTTTTCTTCTGATTTCCTTGAGCACTCTCTTTGTGTTTTTCTGCTCTATTCATGTTTTTCTTCTCATTTACTTGAGCACTCTCTTTGTGTTCTTCTGCTTTCTTTTGCAAATACAAAGAGTACTCTTCTTCTGGTTCCTCAAGTAGACGTATCATTGATCTTAACAGATGCTTCCATCCTGACAAGGGCGCCAAACACTTGATCAGGATTTTAATACGATGATCAAGAAATACCTCAAGAAGGTCAGCCTTATCATCAACCTTCATTCGCTTCTTGTTCCCAAAGAGAACTATATCTCCAAGTCCGTACTTTCCAAACTCAAGTGACCGATTAAACAAACTCCTGAGCCTGGCTGCAACTTCTAACACCGCAATATTGGTAGGAGCACATGTTAGTGTTCTGCACTTGAGCATAAAGAGGGCAAAGAGAGACAGACTGACTGTCTTTGTCTTCCCAGTACCTGGAGGACCCCAAATTAATTTGACATCATTCTGATGATGGCATTTACTCAAACCAATAAAGTTTAAAACTGCAGCTTCTTGGGAGTCATTTAGATTGTGAGAGGAAATAGTGGGCCAAATGGTAGAAAGGGCCGGAGAGCACCTTTGTATGGGAGAGCAAGTAGTACAAGAACTCACAACCTGTACAGAAAGAAACATAACATTTGGCGAGGAACTAATGTGAATTGTGAAGCTTAAAAATAAATGAATTGTTGAGAGAATGAATATAAGTCCAAAGACAGATACATACATATGAATTGGGTTGCAGAACTTTCTTAATAATATTTGTGTTTCCCTCTTTTGAGTTCAAAGCACACCACACGCGAATATTTGTTGTCATGTTCATGAGATAAACTGCAAAATGTTTTTGTCTCTTGCTCTTTTGTCCGTCTTGTTCTCCATAATCGATAGGCTTGGATGAGAGTATTGTGAACCCATGAGCATCAGGAAATTCTTCCGGATCAGGTACTTTACTAACATAAGCAGCAACATAGTGTCTTGGGAACCTGTTCAAATCATCAATACATTTCGGTTTAACATCCGTCAAGGCAATGAGATCTCCAACCTGTGGCTCGTACATTAATCCATTGTGCTTCTGATCCGCTTCTGTATCTATCTTATATGCAATATCATAGACCAAATTTTGGGGATTTTTATGACCTTTTGAACATTCAAGAGTCAATATTTCACAAGTAGGTGCATGCGACAGTTCCGTGATCATATTTGAGAGTAAATCAGCATGTGTTTCCTCGATGAGTGAAGGAACAAATGATTTCAAATAACTCGTCACATTCAAGAAGGTCTCAGGAATCCTAGGCACCTGTTAATTAAGTGAACAAATCCAGTAAAAATTTGACCAAAAAAAAGGAATCTCTTCAAGTTTCCATCAAACTAATACATGCCACGATCATCAAATATATACATGGTGAGAAACCAAATGTCATGCATGCTGACAATGATAAACCCTTCTTTTCAAACAATAACAAGGAATACTTATTGCTATATCTAAGCTTTTTTTTTTTTTTTTTTTTTCGGAAGAGAAAGTGGCCTCAAGCAAAATAGATTGGTGGCCAAGTGGGCTAAGGATATGTGCTTCCCTTCCGCCTCTGAAGCAAAAATTTGAATCCCCATCACTTTTTTTTCACCTTAGTTTAGACAGATTTATTAGAATATCACTTGAATCAAATTCTAAAAGAGAAGGAAATTAGGAACCTGATTTTTGTAAAGTTTGTTGTTGAGAACATCGCTGAGAGACCAAGAGAAAACCAGATCGAGGAAGGCTTTTTTGTCTGTAACTTCTTTCTTGTTGCTCACGTTAGTCTTCTCCATTTCTTACACTAGCTCTATTTCTTCAGTGGAGTAGTATCATCGATTTTCTGGCATTCCCTATTCAAATTCCATGGTTTGTGGGGGAGGGGGTGAATGATCAGGTTAAAATAGAAGGCGGACAGGAAGTTGAAGAGACCAGTACACTCACCTTCCAATAGAGGGTGAGTCGCATATAACGATATGATTAAAGATAGCTTAGGGAAGACCAAGAGTCTATGTATGCCTCTCGATTTCTGTTTTTACTTTTTTATCTTCTTTACTTTGTAGCATAAATTCAGTAGAAAAATCAATAAGAATTTGGAAATAGTAGAAAGTTGTGAGAGATCAATAAGAATTAGTTCTTCAGAATCAACAAGTGAATTAATTCTTTAGGATTTTTCACACCATAATATATACGATTCACACCCAACTTTGGTTTAACTTAATAGTAACAATTTTGTCGAACTTGAAACCCTTTCCACGAAGAAAACTCCCAAGTCTTCAGCAATACCATAAGATAAAGTGAGAGCCTTCCATTATTGTCCTTTGCAAAAAGAAAAGTTGTGGAAACTGGAAAGGTATTTAAATTCCCCTCGAGACTAAGTAATCGAATCAGCGTCCAAGCTGATGTAATTGCCAGTTAGCCAGTCTTCTTTTCGTACAAATTCCACCACTAAATATTTACCACTACATATTTCCTTTAACTTTCTTATTTTACAAAAGTTTGAAAACAAAAAGAAACACAATTTAATAATTCAATTGAAATAATGCAAAGTCTTTGCTTTTCGTACAAAGCTCATGCTCCTGCACACTCATCATTTATAATTGGTTAATTTTTTTTTTTGAAATGTCATATAAACTAATATTTCCAGGGTTTCTTAAAAAACACGAAATTAAGGGGTTGATCTAAAAAACAATATTCTGAGGATTTTTCGTTCAAATAAAGGGAACGACCTGCGCTCTCTTTTCTATGTGTCATTTTCAAGATGACTAATAAATATAATCATTGGGACCCTCTAATCTATAATTTTTTGGATGAAGAAAATATCGTGAACTTTAAGCAATCTTTTACCATTACTTAGTGCCTTTGATTTTGAACATGATAAAACAATGGAATAATATTTTTGATATGATAGCAATAAAATGAAAGAGATTGCCATGATTGACAACATTTTATTGTGTGTACATGATTGATCACGTTGAATTCTCAAAGTTTACAGTTAACCACAACTTCATGTTAGTGAGTTTAATGTACTCTTTTAATAGTTCACATAAGCTTTTAGAACAAACACAACATGTTTTTTGGCATAATTAGATTGTCATCCTTGAATAGGATGCGTTTCTTATTCAAACCAGGTGTATAAGATTGAATATTGAATTTGATCATTTTCCTTAAAATTAGCTTATTATTATTGACTTTTTGAGTTGGTTTTCTTTTACATTTCAAATTGATTCTTCATTAACGTTTGCATTTTACAAGGTCATTTAAAGGTCTTATAAATATTAGGTTTCCATATAATATGAGCCTTTGCTCTTACACTTTTGGATGTATCAAAAAATATCGTGGCTGTGATTTTGAGAATAAGAGCAACTTGTTCAATTCAAATCCATCTTTCTCCAAATATTCATACCAAATCCCAGAATTCATGCCGGTAGATACTTCCTCTTGTATTTTTTATATTTCCCTATTTATGGACCTATATGTTTTTAATATTTATCTACGTACTTTGTATGTCTGTACCATATATTTTTTGTGTACCGAATATCCGTACCTTATTTTTTTAGTATATTGATATTTTTACACTAAGGAGATTAGGAGTTCGGCAAAGCTACACGATGGATAGCCTAATTTGGTATCGAATTCGTCATCCGAATATATGTACCTTAAACATATGTGGAACTATATAGTCATCTACTAAAAAATATGCCAGAGCGTTGCTGCAAGAATTGAAAATATTAGTCTCATCAGGCATAAATAATTTCCACACAAACTAACTTAAACGACGGTGTAGTACCTAAGAACCAATGTAGTAAAACTTTCCTTGCTATATACGGATATGCATGCTATAAGAAAGCATTCATTTGTAGATTGTATTGTGCCATCAGTATTATACTCATAGTTTCACATGCTCAGCCTACTATGGGGTAAAACATGGAAAAGGGAAAGCAAAACAATAGAAGACATAATATTTGAGCATCTATCAGGAATAGTAAGTTTCTGAAAAAATTGCTAAACCGTCTCACAAATTCAATCGTTAAACATTACACTGTGACCTAAGATAAAGATAAAGTATATAGTTCGTTCACAAATCAAAACAAAGTTCTATCAAAAGAAAATGTTTAAGATGATGAAAATAAAAAACTAGACTCAGCAACCATATTTTCCATTGGTAACCAAACGAATAATTTAGAATGATACAAACCCAATTCTAGCTCATCTGGTTGCTCTCATCCTCAACTCTGTATTTCAAAGGCTAAGTAGCCATGTTTGCAGAAGTTGCCAAATAATCACCATCTGAAGATTGAGAATAACTCACATTGTTCACATCGCACAAAATTTATAGAAACGGGGACAAATTAACATATTTAAAGTAAGCATTAAGATGTAAACATATTCAAAGGCTGAGTAGCTGATTGGATTCGTTTCATTTTTCGAATCCAATGAAAATACAAAACGAAAAGGAATTAAAGAAAAGTTAACAGTTTAAGTATTTCAAATTAGTGATTAATCAACCAGTTAGTCAGTCTCAATGATCTATCAATACCATGGACATCATACAGAAAATCAAGTAAACCCCGTAAACTATCAACTCCTCAACTCCATCACTCTTCCACCATTGTTTCTAATTTACCTCTCCCTTACTACTTTATATAAAGCAAATTGAACTGTCCATTTCAAATCAAATATACATGGGCAGAAAAGCAAAACCTAAACTCCCACCACGTAAATTAATCAATAATCAAACAAAGAAAAATTCTTGGAGACCAGAACAAATCCAATTGGATTTTCATGCAAGTGATTGTAATTGCCAAACAAAACACATATATTTAAGTGCCCAAAATTTAAGCTTTACATCATAATCTATTCTTGTAACAAAAACAGTTTCTCAGCCGTTGGGTATATTCTGTGGCTTTTGATCAATAGTTTTAATAGATTTATAAATCCATGGATTTTTATGGAATTTAGGGGGGGTGTATTCAATTGGGATTTTAAGGGATTTTAATTCTTTTAATGAATCTAGGGGTATTCAATCATGATTTTAAGTGATTCTCTGAAATTCTAGGTGTATTCAATTAGAATTTTAAAATAGTTTATTAAAATCCTTATAAATACAGGTGTATTCAATTAAGATTTTAAAGAAGTTTATAACATTCCAGGTGTATTCAATTAGAAATTGATTTTAAAGAATTTGAGAAAGTTGAGGAATTAGAGGGAATTTGAGAGATTTCGTAGTGTATTTTAAGCATTTACAAATCTCACATCTTCCCATGAGATTTCGAGGGAATTGAATCAAAATTTTATATGGAATCTCTACAAATCAATTAAGGGGGGTGTATTCAATTGAGAATGTGAGAGATTTTAATGGATTTATAAATCCATGGATTTTTATGGAGTTTAATTGATTTGTAGAGATTCCATATAAAATTTTGATTCAATTCCCTCGAAATCTCATGGGAAGATGTGAGATTTGTAAATGCTTAAAATACACTACGAAATCTCTCAAATTCCCTCTAATTCCTCAACTTTCTCAAATTCTTTAAAATCAATTTCTAATTGAATACATCTGGAATGTTATAAACTTCTTTAAAATCCTAATCGAATACACTCGGATTTCTAAGGATTTTAATAAACTATCTTAAAATTCTAATTGAATACACCTTGAATTTCAGAGAATCACTTAAAATCCTGATTGAATACCCCTAGATTCATTAAAAGAATTAAAATCCCTCAAAATCTCAATTGAATACACCCCCTAAAGTAATGTATCCACTTTGTCTACGGTTACATAACTCCATCATTTTGAAATTTGATTTGAGTATAGCTCATTTAATATGTGGAAATGTAATTCTTATTTTTAAGGATTAATTGATGATTGAGTAGAAATTTTCAGATGAAAATATTGGTAAATAATGATAGTACTATAAGTACTTTGATATGACATAACATTGAGTTTTAAATGGACAGACGGAAGTTAGATTTACAAACCATTCATGTTAGAATCTAAAGGATATCTTATTTAAGTTCTAAAGTCTAAATATTTTCTATTTCCATTAGTGTAGATAATATTGTTTATTCAAAAAATCCAAATAACCCATGTGTTTTAACTAGCGCCCAAAGTTTAAGGGTTTGTATTAAAGAGAAGTAAAGAACTTGTGAAAAGGAGGTCGAAAGTCCGAAATAACCCTAGACATAAGTCATGTGCTAGGCATATGACTTATATTGGATGAAAAACTTAACGGAGTTAAGGTAAGATGATAAATTAATGATTTCGAAAAGTTGATACGACAATTGCTTAGTGACAAATTAAAAAAAAATGTAAAATTTCACATAACATTTCTAAAAGTTTTCCATTAAGATTACAGTGTGATAACAAAGTAGAATAAACAAGTATGATCTAACATCTAATTTTTTGTGATTGGCTTATTAATTGATTTGCCCTACAAAACTGTCATTTAGTCTAATTTTACCGAAAAAAACTTGTGCACAGCACAACTTACCACTAGATAATACTGAGTAGCAATATTATCCACTCAAAGCTTGCCACGTTATGAGTTTTTAAGTATAATTTTCACCTTTTCTTTTATATTCAAATTTATCGGTCGTGTCATATCAAATTCATTATCCTAAGGAGTTCTTAACATGTGACATAATGGCAACCTAGTTCGTTAACGGGTCATGTAGTTTCGTCTTGGATTAACGAGTCATGCAAAAATTTGTCATGCCTAATGCCTAAATTTGGTAAAACATCAGGTTCTTAGTAATGACCCAATAATGATTCGACTCATTAATAAATTCTTAATAGGTGACTCAATAACAACCTGACTTGTTAATAAGTTTAAGGCTAGAGTAGCTCAAATGCCCAGGAATATGATCATATTTGTGAGAATTTTAGAAATTACTTTATTGTGTCTGTTCATCTGTCATCTTGCTTGCGGTCAGAAATCATTTTGAATTTCTTTATTTAAAATTGAATATAAACAATACCTGACAAAAAATAAAAATAATCGTACGATAAACAGGAAATTTGGAAAAATAACCACAATTTGGACCTTATATAGAATTATAGCTACCTTTTTAAATTGATGATAATTATAACCAAAAGTTGACATAAAAATACTAATATACCCTTAAAATTACCAAAGTGCAAAATTAAAA